TACGTTGCCCAGGGTGCACCACGTGGAGGTAAGTCTATCGCACACCCCAGTTGGAGCCAAAATAAATGAATTGATTTTTTTTTAAATTTAATTCTCCAGAAAGATCATAATTGAGTGATTATATACGCAAGTAATAGTGAAGGGAAGAAAGGTGACCGCAGGTTATACGAAAAGACAGGATATCAGAATATAGGCAAACTTGCGACCAAATGGCTTAACGCTTATACCACGAGGCCTCATGTTTACATATTCAGGGGTTATAGTGTCGGATATGATATCAAAATAAAAGTAAACCTATTACTGATAATATGATAATATTATTAAACTTGCATTTGCTTGTTATATAATAAGTGATTTATATGACTTGAAGCATTAATGCGTAATCGGTATTACAACCACCACAGTAGTGGAAATTCAGTCTGATAGAGATCTGCAGACATAAATCGGTATCTCTCAGAAAAAGTTAACCCATTTTATGGTAGACTTAACATGCTTTTTTTCATAGGGGCATTTCGATATAAAAACACATACGTCTTCCATGATTTACCATTGCCTTTACACTTCCATAGTCACTTTTGTCAATATTTCATGCCATGTCAATAACTTATTATTTTCTTAAACATCTAACTATCGGACTGCCATATGTTCTTCTAAAAAATTTTCATTTCTGAGATAACGAATTCAATAAAAGTAATAAAATATATCGAATAAAATGGGAATAAAATGGCACATAATTCTCAACTGGAATACGGCAACTTAACTGTTTTAGGCAAACAATAACAACATTAGCGACTTATCAGAGGTTGGATAATGTCTGTCGCTTCACGTGACCTGTACGATTAGACGGCTTTTGTTTATTTCTTTCAAAATTTTACCAGGTCTTTTCATTGGTATATGTGGACATTATAAAGTGGTAGTCGTCCCTTTATAAAAAAGTGGCAAAACTAATGCTGTTCGGTCAAATGAATGTATATCTAGAGCAAAAAATGTGCCAATGATTTTTCTAATAGTTCCTTCTAATAGAAAGTAGGTGCTACAAATGATTTCGTATATGAGATTTTTCATCCACCTTCGTTTTCTGTAAAGGTGTTTGAAATAGAATAGGCACTAGAAACCTTTTCAATTATTACCTCTAAGGAACACTGATCTCATCGATAAAGCAAACTATAGCCCTCGATTCCATGAACCTTCGCATGCAGTTAGAAGTTCTACGCGCAACCACTTTTGCTAGTGTTCTAATAATGTGGGAATCTTGGAGACAGAAAATTGACAATGTTGATTGTATTGGCCATGGAAGGCAGGTCATGCAATGACTTGATCTAGAATTCTGATTAACTCTTCCTTACGCAAACGTCGGATAGCCTTTCTTTGTTGCTTCATGTTCTATTTACTAAGTCAACGCGTGTTTTAGAATAAGAAAGATGTAGTCACTTCTCTAATGCCCAAAATGAAAAGTTTTTGCTCTTGAATCTTGTCCTAGAGGTTTCTAAAATGAATCTCCCGGAGGCTGTGCTGTGAGCTTAGTCATTAAATTAAACTATTTTGCTGTATATTGAGAGCCTTTTGATCATTTACTCTTTTGGATGGGCTTAAATGAAGACTAACTCAAATAAGGTATCGATAAGTGTTGTTCTTACTTTAGCGGATAGTTTGAGAAGTCTTAAATTTGCTTTTAACTTTACAATAATTGTTATGCTATATGGATTTTGCTGGTCAAAACATCTATCAAAGATCTATCCGTATTAATTTTGTGACCCAAGACCTACGAATTAGCTCAATTTTCCCTAATTCTGTTCATTTTGACGGATAGCCTATTAGCAAATGCTGTACCGTAAAAGTTGCTAAAACTGCTTCTTTTATGCTTTTAGCGAGATTGCCCTTCAGGTCAACTCAGCAAAAAGAAGTTTATTGAAGTCTACTCTGGATTCTTCCCAGATGGTAATGCGGAAGAATTTTGTACTCACGTATTCCGAACATTCGATAAAGACAACTCCGGGAAAATTGACTTTAAGGAATTCCTGTTGGCTATTAATATCACTTCTGGTGGAAGGCCAAAGGAAAAGCTTGAGTGGGCCTACCAAATGTATGATATTGATGGGAATGGAACCATCGAGCGAAGCGAGATGGTTGAAATCATTCGAGTGAGTTTTAATTTTATTTATTTATTTATTTAGATCAAATGGCAGGCATTTTGATAGTTATCATAAGCCCTTTAGTTGACTTCAGGCTTCACAGAGAAGAAGGAACATCAAAGTGAAAAAAAGTCGAGAGGGGGAGGGGGAGGGGAACAGAAGAGTATTTCAAAGATGTTAAAGAGAGAGACACAAAGGTAGAGTGAAAAAAATGAGGTGAGTACTGTGGAAGTAGTCGAATATGACATACAGTGAGGTGGTGGTGTTTTGAAGTCGGAAGTCAACTACCGGAAAATAGACTTTTTTGCCGTATGAGTATACGTTGACCAGGGTGCACCACGTGGAGGTAAGTCTATCACACACCCCATTTTAATTTCATAATATCCTATTTAGTCATGGATAACAGAAATATGAGAAAACAAATCTCGAATAAATGAACTAAGATTAAAATATGGAGTTCTAATTACGTGGGATTTACTTACGCCCACAAGTTTTGTTTTATCATAATTTGTATCCCACGGTGTGGCAAAAAATGCATATGTTATTGTGAGACAGCAACTGAAATTGGTTAATAGTAGGCTAAATAATGGTAAATATGGATCAAAATTCTATTGAGAGTAAGGTCAAAGTAACATCGGTCATACATCGTTTGATCTTGGTATAGGAGTTTTAGGGTATTCTCTTACCTTCCAAGGTCCAATTTTCACGATTTGTTCACCGGATTATAGAAAATATTTGTCAACAGTCATTTCACATTTCGGATTTCATTATTTTCAGCTAGATTATTGAGCAGGTACTTGTCCATTATGATTGCATAATGCCAAATCATTACTTTTTATAATTTCTGTATGATTATTTCTGGACTACATGGCATATTGTGACTCTCTTCATCTACTGTCATCTTGGTTTTAGCTATCGGCCATGTTTTAGTTCTACTCATGGCTTTGGAAATATTCAATATTACTTCATGTCACCTTCATTTAGGGTGAATTATTGTTCCATATTTAATAACTTCTATTTAAATGAACTTGATTTAAGGCACCTCTCTTGTTGTGGCGAATTTCTGAACTTCCTGAAGTCTGCGAAATTATTATGCATTATGAATTCAATTATTTGTCTCTTTTGCCGTAAAATTGACGAGATATTCCTTTATCTTGAGCACTTCATTAATCCGAGTTTTATCAGTAGTGATAAAATGATAAAATTCTATTCAAATCGGCTAGAAATATCGGCAAATCTTGTCAAAATTTTCATCTGAATGTTGTCTTTATTAGTACAATATCCTAAAGGCTTGCAAGGAATTCGGAAATGGTTTGTCCATATATTCTACTGGTTATTTTTCTCAAAACTTATTGGATCGATTTATGAATAGGAAATAAATTTGAATTATACAGAGTGGAGATATCTTGATGTCGTCCTTTCTTAGGCATAGCTGCTCCAATCACCAGATGTGTGCAAATAAGTGTTGAGAAAGTGATCTCTTGAAATTAGTTGTATCTATTGTCTATATTGAAATCGCCTAGAAAAACAGCACACACTTCTGAATGAGCTTTATATCACCGTTTCTAACAAGCAATCATCTCGCAAACAGGCAAATAATTTTAACCGTTAGATATTAAGGCGAATTGAAACAGCTTTTTTTCTGAAATGAGTGTTTTATCTTTCATGTCGTTTAAACCTAATCTCGGTACGCAGGAGCATCTATAAAAGTTTCAATCCATGGGTACGTGGTACATCAAGTGGCCTATTCAGAAACTTCAGGTTTCTGATCGAAATGTTTAGCCTTCACTTCATATTCCAGAAGGTTTGCTTTGTGGAACTTCAATATTCACTCAGTCCAGGCTATATTTTTAGGTGAATTTTTTCAATTTAGATTAATCAATAGAGGAGTTAGATATTTTACGGTATAATACTTTATTTTAACAAAATATGTTTGAATATTTTATTAATTGATTATCAATTTTTTTAACGAAATTATTTCACTGTTTGCTTATGAAAACATTTTGGCATATCTCGCCATCAAAATGCTACTTAATCTATTTGGTACTTTAAAAACTTCGTATGTATGAATGACAAGAGTTTTATCATTGAATGAGACGAATACGCCTACCGCTTTGGAAAAGGTAATTGAATTGTGTTAAAAATGGTTGCATTCTATTGTGTCTTGCGCCGCCTAGTTACATGCCTGCTTCTGATTAAATTACCGCTTTGTCTCGAGGGGATATGAAATCGACTTAATCTGTGTGTATTCGCTTTTGGATTTCGTCCCCCCCCACCCCACCCCCTTGAAAACTTGCAGAGGTTTTATTTTGCTATTTAACTAAAAGTTCTTCGTTCCATCTGTAAGCACTTTTTACACTTGCAAGCATGGGAATTCGTTTTTTTTGCACCATTTCAAGAAATTGCAAATTTGATTTTAAATTGATAAAGAGCTTTTGAAATTGTTTGTCGTCTTTTTTTTAAAGCGTATCTCTTGGGGTCGTCTGCTGCTAAGTTTTGGTTGAAATTTGATTTGACTTATATCTGCTAAAATGTTCAGTTGAAACGAGTTATTGTTTCCTAAGCTCTTGCCTCGCGTTTGACTAACTACCCAGAGATCTTATGAAATATTTGTTCAAAAAAGAACATTTATATAAAGATGCTCTATTTCTCCGTCTAAATAAGGCAATTATTGTGAAATAGTCAATAACTCTAATTAGCATAAGAGATAACAGTGAACCATCTGTTGGAATGGTAAACATATTGGACTAAATGATTCTACTTCACTTAGGGAACGGATTAGTTAAGTGGAAAGAGTAAAAGAGGTTGGTATTTTATCGCAAAAAAAGATGAAGCCTACTTATTGCCATTATCGACATCAAGATAAAAAATGTTTCCATATTTTATTGTGAAAAGTAATTGATATTGATTAACAGAAAATTTAGCAAATAATAACGTAGAGAAAATAAAGAGATACCGAAAAGGAGGACATGTTATCGAAGTGTCTGGCTCCGATTGAATTGCTTTCATTCGGGTTGGACAAAATTTACAAACAAGCGTCTCGCGTTCCATGGATTTTCCCTTGAAAATCGAACTCCTTTTTAATCAGGAACGTTCGAAGTTTTAAATTCGAAACGTTTTGATTTGCAATGTGTTTTTAAGAAATGCCGAAATGTGATCGTTCGGTAAGCTTTTACCCAGAGACAACATTTTGCATTGAGTAATGGCAAAGAAATATTCACAAACTCCTGCATTATATCAAGTAGTTGAAATTAGAATATATATGAAATCAAATACAATCGAGCACTAATCTTTGAAAAGAGGATTTTTTAAATTAAATAATGGCTTAATTCCGGTTGAAGGTGGAATTTCCTGTTTTCACAATTTATAATCATTTTTTTGAAAAAAATTATTTGTAACTCAAGTTATTAATAGATTCCATAAATTATTTTTAGTGTACTGGCTGTTTATATTAATAAATAAATCAAAATATCATTGCTTTAATGCGATAAATACCTGTTTTGTGTGGATTTAAAAATAGACCAGAATTGTTGCAGTATTTGTTAGCACGCATTCTCTCATACAAAACAATAACACATTATTGCCATTTTTGCTTAAATTTTTTTGCAAATGCAAATGTGCTTCTAGTTTTAGGTACGTTCATCTTAAAAGCAGATCAAATATTTCGAGTTTTTAAATTAGAGAGAATTTGCTAGGTTAACTTTTCCTAAGCACTTAAGAAAGCCTTATATTTTTAGTAAAAATAACTTTTAAAAAAATGCTAGGTGACTGCCAAAAAGAGGGTTGTGCCTTTGTGAATATTAAGATGAGGAAATGTCAAAATGATCATTGAATCGTAAATAGTAAGATTTTTTATGGGAATATAAGTAAGTTATTCAGAGTAAAACAGCAGGAACTTTGAATTGAGACCTCAAAATGCCAAAAGTGGTTTATTAAGCTCAGCCAGATTGCTTTGTGACTTATGAACTTTCAAAGGAAACTTTTTTTCCTAATTTATAGAATAAGGTACAAAGGTTGTGCACATTGATTCTTTCCCTTAATACGATATTATTTTCATAATTTCAGTGTCTATGAAATATCTAAATTTCTTTTGAATTGACAAAAATGCATGAACTCAACCTGTGAATCTAATCTCCTGATATGTAATTAAAATATCTCCGCTTATTCACAAATGCAGTTCACATTAAAGGGTTCATTTAAGTAAATTTTGGATATAATGTCGGACATGCTTAGACAAAACATGCCTTGGAATCGTGTTGAATTAGCCCTAGTCATGACTTTCGTCAAAATGAAGTTGAAGGAGACATTTGCCTTTAAATTATCAAGGCACAATTCAGATTTAGATTGCTAGTTTAGATGAAAAAGCCACATTTGGTAAGCTTGTCACGAAATTGGGTGGATAAAGGGAAATATTAATGTCGCCGAAAAAAAATGGAATTTCTTTCAACTAGTTTTGAGAAATATATAATCTTTATAAAAGAGTTTTCTTTCATAAGAGTCACATGGGGGCATAATTAACATAAGGATTAAAGTTATTATGGATACACCTTTGAATATATTTTGCCATTCAATTTATCTGATACTTTTAACTGTAGTAGGTCACGTGAAAATTTAAATAATTCGGCAATGCGGAAAATGAAGTAACATCCAAGAATTTTACAAAATTTATTGTTCTCGTTCAGTTTTACATTGAGGTTTTAGTACTCTTTTACATCTTCAATCACCACTTTGCGTTCTGTGATTCTAAAATATCAAATTTTAATACCCTTTCCTGCCTTTTCTGAGTGTGTTCGTGCACAAAACGAAGATCACTTAGCTGGTTGGTTGGTTTCGCATTTCTTATGTATTCACTCCCACCAATAACAATGCCTATACCAAAATGGTGCAAGCTAACACGATTCCATCACTCCTGCGAACACTTTCGATTAGCGATTTTGATTCATTAATTCTATTAACCTAAAATATTTCAGGCAATTTATTCCATGCTGGGTGCGGATGGATCCTCGGCAGAACTGAGTCCTGAAGCTCGAACAGAGGAAATATTTGACAAAATGGATGAAAACCGAGACGGTGTCTTAACTCGAGATGAATTCATGAACGGATGTCTCTCCGACCAATATCTACTTTCCATGCTACTTGCCGATGAACCCGTAGAATAATTTGATACTTTAACTTTTGATCCTTAACCCCTAACTTTACATATATATTTCTCGTTTGCTTGACGAAGAATCTCTCTTTCCTCGTTTAAATCTCATCCCTAATTTCCTATCAAGGTATTTCGCATGCGAAGAAAATATACTCTAAGATTTGACCAAAATAGAAACTCTAAAATGAGAAGCGCTCAATAGGAGGAGAGAAATAACCAATCAAACAAAAATATATTTCCTTTAAAATATACTTCTTTTAAGCCTTCTTCTCCCTCTCTTTTTCTTCCGCAAATTGAAAGCATTTTGTTCCTACCCTTTTGATTACAAAGATGCCATTCTCTATTTATGTTTGTGCGTGTAAATAATGTGCGATGACATGGGAGTCAAAAGGCTCGTATTCCTCTTTCCTCCTCCTCCACCACCTCCTCCTCCTATGGTCTGCTGTTCCTCATTCACCTTTTCTCTCTCTCTCTCCTCAAATTCCTTGTTTTCTGATAATTCTACTTCTATTGAGTCATCATTATGAATTAAAACAATAATGGACAGCAACAAATTATGCGAAATATACTTTCACTGTGTGATTCACTGAACATTCATTAATTATTTAAATAGGGGCGGGTTTATGCATCAGGTACTATTAGATTAGTCTTGATGTTTGACAAAAAATACTCAAATCACAATGGTAAAGAACTCAGTGTAATTAAAAGTAAACACTTTACGTTCGCGTTGATAACTCCAAGTTAACTTAATTATATATAAATTCGAGAATAATAATAATGTATTTGTAAGGAACCTAATTTTCAACAAAGTGGCAAAATCATAGTCCAGTGTTCCAAGGTTTTTGGTTAAGTTACATGACTCTTCCTTCCCTACTTCGCTCAATCGTTTATAGTTTTGAAATATTCTTAAAATCAAACTACTTGTACGAGCTACGGATTCTAAAATAGCTTCAGTCTCCCAGTCCCTCCTCAATTTAATTTAATCGTCATAAGAAGATGAGGTTATCTGAGGTCAGAATTAATAAGCATCACCCTTAGATAAACGTGTCCTTTTTTCATTTCCATATTTTAACATAATTACAAGTTCTAGAGCACGTGGTTATGAGATGGATTAACGGCACGACGTGTGTTGAGTTGAATTTGTTGGGAGATGAACGGTGATCGGTGTAATGTAAGTTACTAATATTTGAAGTGCGTAGATGGAGCCACTTAAATAATTCATCAAAAGTACATCTCGCATATATTTTTGTCCAAAACATTTTGCTGAAGTGAGCATAAAACAACTTATTAATATAATGTATCTTAAGAAATGCTATTCAAATATGACTAGTTTTTAGATATTTAATTGTGCTTTAAATTACTATTCCAAACTCTGGGAATCCGACAAATTAATAATAAAAAGTAACAGAATAGCCAAAATATCAATAAAACTTAAAATCTAACTAATTGCTTTAGTGACTACTTCTATCTCAGTTTAATATAAATCTACAGTAGGAGTGATTGACAAAATATTTTTTTCATTCACAGGATAATCATATATTTAGTCTCTTTTACTAAAGGATAGCTTTTATTCTTGAGACCAAGACCGCTGTATAACATCAAAAGCCGTTATGGCACTCAAACTCTTACGAGATGTTTCGTGACATGTATTATTAAAAATAAATATGCAGATTGCAATTGCACCTGAGTGACAGAAAAATCGATATTTAGTAATGAAGACAAAATTAGGTGGGGATGTATTGCGTTGGCCTAACTTTGATGAAGTTTCCCCGACTTCTAAGAGTGTTTCGTTTAATCAAATTCGAATAATGAAGGTTGGATATTGATTAGTTGGGATATCTCGATCACAAAATCAAAATCTTCACTCTAATTCATTTACATATACTATTCTAGGATCAGATAAGACCATTTGAGGCATTTTTTAATCTAGTTTAATAATGTTTCAAATACTTAGCAGAATTCTAAAGACATTTAACTCAAATATGGAGCGATTTTAGGGGATTTAGTGGCTTTGCTACCCACACATTATTTCTAATTCTCCACTAAACAAATGTTCTTATTTAATGAACTATTGAAGGAAACCCATATCTAGGTGTAATCACAAAATTCCACCTTATTTATGGGAATGGAAATCAACCATGACACAAGGAAAAGATTTAGAAGATCTCGGTAATTATTCAATGACATCACAATCTTCTCTTTTCTTCCGTAATTCAGAAACGCTCATTTATTCCCAAATTCAAACGTGTGAGAATTTATACCCTGATGTCGTATCATTCAAACTTTGTAATTTAGGCCACAGAATCATGCATGAGATCAAATCCATTATATTCAAAGTTTTTTCGCAATTCATCAATTCTCTGCAGTTTATTTACCTATTTTTCGATTAAGTGTGAGTGGATTACCATATATGCTACCCTTATAATGTTCATTTCCATGGTGGTGATGAACACATTATTGATCTTCAATGATCTTCGGTCATATTTGCAATTTCATTTGTAATACCACTTTTGAACTTCAAGCAGTGAGAAAATTTCTTTTGTTTCTTATGTCTACTTACTCATATTATTATTTAATCAGGTCCCGGTAATTACTTTAACTCAAGAAAAGAAGGCCGAGAGTAGTCTGGCGGGATTTGTCAAGCAAGCAGACAGTTGAGAATGAGGAAGTTATTTATATCATTAAAACTTGGGTTGCTACTGGAATTGGAAATTTAGTATAATAAAATAGAACTGGATAGTGAACAAACAAATTGATGAATACTGCAATTTCATCATCTATGAAAGAGCATCTACTTGTCTGAAAGTTGACCATCAAAATATGCTACACTTATGATCTCTCAAATTAGTTGAAATGGCATGGATATCGTGTAGCTTTTTACAATTGCGTTTTAGCTGTCTTTATAGAAAGGGAATGCAACTAACTTAGTTACTCGATAAAGTAAGACATTAGCGTTGAATAATGAGCGAGTTTGATGCATTGATCGTTTCTATTTGCAAGCAAATCTCCTATGCAGAATTTCACTAAAAGTAAAACAACTTTCAATTTTTAATCTGCATCAATAAGTTTGCTCTAATCTACTTAACCTTACAAACGTGAGTGCAGAGAGGGCGAACGATTTTATTGTCATAAAAATCTTATTGTTCTGCATTTTGATATCGATAACTGCCAAATTTCTAAGTATTGAAGTGACACTTATCCTATTGTGTCGTTCGCTTGAATGGATGTGTTCACCTTCGCGTCTTAAATTTATGACGCATAAAATTTCCCAGAAATTCCTTTTTCTTTTCATTTTATTGACTGTAAAAACCATATTGGCAAGACCCTAAAAATGCAACTTCGTGGACTTCAGTTGAATAGGTGTTTTTAGGCTCTTCAGAATATTTCAACCTTGAGAGAAATGAGGCATGCGGTATGACAGAATGGGGTGGTTTGACGTGTAAACTTCTCCAATTCATGATAAATAACTCAGTGTGGAAGCATCCCATAGGCGAAAGAAAACGCCAATCTTGCAATTACTGTTAAAATGAGGTAAACTAAAATGCCAATAATAATGAAGTCACCATGCGTCCTTGAAAAAAAATCTTAATATCTTTTGTTACTCTGAAGCGTATTGTGCTTTAGAAATCGAAACAACTGCTTCTTATTTGGTACATAATTTCAACCAATTTTCCTGTGCTCTATTTTGTCTCCATCTGCTATCAATTTATGTTCACTCAGGTGAAAATTGGTACATGCTAATCAACACTTCGTTTGAAAGATGTTAAATGACAGAAGTATTTTTTCTTCTATAACTGACAGCATTTTCATAACTTCCCCTTTGAATGAAAAGGGTATTAATAATACCACTCTGGAGAAAAGAAATTAATGTAAATAAAGAAATATTGACAAATATTGGCCCATGAAACCAATGTGTCCGTTGAGAGGGTGCGAAATGGCGGGCAACAATCGTTAACTCACATGGATGTGCATTTGAGTTTCGGAGGGGAATGGATGGCGCTGATTATAACCTCCAAACGCAAATATTTGAAACTTATTTGAAGTAAAATTTGGTTCAAGCATAATTTTTAAAAGGCAGGTGTTAGGCAATTCTTCATATTCTAGGGGCTCACTATTATAGATAAGCACATTTCGGAGAAAGTTCTAAAGGGTTTAAGAATTTCATCCAAAGAATCCTTTCAACAAAATTATGAATATGAGGGCATTCAATGCGAGAAGGAAGGTGTAACTGGAAGTTTATTATTGTTTCAAAAGAAATCGGATTTAGAGTTAATTGTAAATGGAGTTGAATGAATAATGGACTAAAATTAGCATGTCAAAAGCAATTTAAAGTTGGCATTTTATTGCCTTTTGTGCACAACCATCTATTTTAATACCCTACACATATAATCATCAACATCCTTAAGACTAGTGCAAACTGAGATAGGTGGCTGAATTAGCGATGAGAGGGAGAGAAAGAGCTCCAGTCGATCTCTGTTATTCCACATATTTGTAATGTAAAATGGTATCCATTCCGTCTTTTGACAAACTGACAGGAATCACACAGAAATCCAGTGATCAGATACTGATGTCTGAACCGCGGAATTTAGTGCAATAATACATTGGACTATTTCAACTAAACACTAATAGGCAAATTATGTAAACAACATTAGGTGCCTCCGTTTTGATGCTATGGTTGCATTCGTTCATTCCCTTGTTCATTGTCATAATTCAGATTTCCTGATTACCATGTTCTGTTAATATGGCAGGCGATTAAGACCCCCACCCAGGGTTGTACCAGGAAGGGGCTGCGCAACCATGGCGACACGAATATCTGTAAGATTTATTCATTCAGATTGTTAAAGTAATTTTTCCGGACATTAATAGTGAGCAGACATTTAACTGAGCCCAACCATCCACATTGCCTCCAAGTGTATTTGCTCCTAGACTTAGTTTAAGTGTGTCTAACTTGAACAAACCCAATCGTCTCCCTTTTGGTTACCCCCACCCACCCCCTCAAATAGCCAATCGAAT